TGCATTATTGTAATAATTGTATAAATAATGTCAACCCATTATTAGACTGGCCAGTTGGACTCGTTTTGGATAATGACGTCATTTGTTTACTCCTGAACATCGGCGAAATTCAAACATTTCCTCTACTCTGAGCTCAATTTTAAGGTACTTTTCATTGTGAAACCAATCAAAATTGTATCTGTTTCTGTAGTATATCTTCCACTCTATCAAAGACACCCCCCCCTCCCCCAAATACAACCTTAAAATCCATACAGAAATATTCCGCTAAGGGGCGGCTAATGGCTGGAAGTGAGCTCCATTATTTATGCTCCGATTGGTTTCATTTTTGGTGTATGTTAAGAAGCATCTTCATGTTATACATTGACCAAGTTTCAGTAAGATAGTCCAACAAACAAATGAGATCAAATTCCTTAGATCAAGTGCAAGAGCCCCTCACCAACGTCAAGGAACCTCCCTTGAGGCCTGCTCGCTTATGGAAATTTTGCTCGCATATGGAAGCAAAAAATCGATCGAGTGACTGTTCGTATTTGGAAAAACTCGCAAGTGGATGCGCTCGCAAGTGGAGGTTCCACTGTACAGTGGAACCTCTACCTGCTAGTTTAATCCGTTCCATGGCCTTGCTCGCACCTGGATTTGCTCGTTTGCAGAGTCAATTTTCCTCACTTAAATTAATTGAAATGCAATTAATTCATTCCAGTGGAATTCTGTACTTCAATAATTTCACTAATATCAACTCTTCGGCTTATTTATCTATCTCACTTCATCTAATATGACATAATAAACAATATAAATAACATAGAAACCTGATATGTACTCTAAAATGAATAAAATTTGTCATTCATGTAGTGGTATGGGCAGTGTCGGCGGTGGATAAGAGTGTCTGGACACCAGGCAAAATACTTCATGAATAATTTTGCTAATATCATCTATATGGCTTATTTATATATCACAGTTCATCTAATATGACATAACAGACAATATAAATAACATAGAAATACGCTATATACTCTAGAATGAATAAAATGTCATTACATAACATTACATGTTGTGGTAAACACTGCCATCTAGTGACGGCCTTTTGAAGCCGTCTATTATTATATGTAGTACATTATTATTATATATTTATTATTATACATTTTATTATCATCATTATTTTTTTTTTTTTATTATTTTATTATCGCACTGGCCTATTCCCACCAAGGCAGGGTGGCCCGAAAAAGAAAAACTCTCACCATCATTCACTCCATCACTGTCTTGCCAGAAGGGTGCTTTACACTACAGTTTTTAAACTGCAACATTAACACCCCTCCTTCAGAGTGCAGGCACTGTACTTCCCATCTCCAGGACTCGAGTCCGGCCTGCCGGTTTCCCTGAACCCCTTCATAAATGTTACTTTGCTCACACTCCAACAGCACGTCAAGTATTAAAAACCATTTGTCTCCATTCACTCCTATCAAACACGCTCACGCATGCCTGCTGGAAGTCCAAGCCCCTCGCACACAAAACCTCCTTTACCCCCTCCTTCCAACCTTTCCTAGGCCGACCCCTACCCCGCCTTCCTTCCACTACAGACTGATACACTCTTGAAGTCACTCTGTTTCGCTCCATTCTCTCTACATGTCCGAACCACCTCAACAACCCTTCCTCAGCCCTCTGGACAACAGTTTTGGTAATCCCGCACCTCCTCCTAACTTCCAAACTACGAATTCTCTGCATTATATTCACACCACACATTGCCCTCAGACATGACATCTCCACTGCCTCCAGCCTTCTCCTCACTGCAACATTCATCACCCATGCTTCACACCCATATGAGAATGCTTGGTAAAACTATACTCTCATACATTCCCCTCTTTGCCTCCAAGGACAAAGTTCTTTGTCTCCACAGGCTCTTAAGTGCACCACTCACCCTTTTCCCCTCATCAATTCTATGATTCAACTCATCTTTCATAGACCCATCCGCTGACATGTCCACTCCCAAATATCTGAATACATTCACCTCCTCCATACTCTCTCCCTCCAATCTGATATCCAGTCTTTCATCACCTAATCTTTTTGTTATCCTCATAACCTTACTCTTTCCTGTATTCACTTTTAATTTTCTTCTTTTGCACACCCTACCAAATTCATCCACCAATCTCTGCAACTTCTCTTCAGAATCTCCCAAGAGCACAGTGTCATCAGCAAAGAGCAGCTGTGACAACTCCCACTTTGTGTGTGATTCTATATCTTTTAACTCCACGCCTCTTGCGAAGACCCTCGCATTTACTTCTCTTACAACCCCATCTATAAATATATTAAACAACCACGGTGACATCACACATCCTTGTCTAAGGCCTACTTTTACTGGGAAATAATTTCCCTCTTTCCTTCATACTCTAACTTGAGCCTCACTATCCTCGTAAAAACCCTTCACTGCTTTCAGTAACCTACCTCCTACACCATACACCAGCAACATCTGCCACACTGCCCCCCTATCCACCCTGTCATACGCCTTTTCCAAATCCATAAATGCCACGAAGACCTCTTTAGCCTTATCTAAATACTGTTCACTTATATGTTTCACTGTAAACACCTGGTCCACACACCCCCTACCTTGAAATACCTTGAAATATTTTTGTACTTAGCTTATAGTGAGTAGTGAATATATTTATTGTAGGAAGTCTGAATAACTGAAGAATGGGTATAATAGAAAACTGCTGCATTAGTGAAATGCTGTAAAGTGGGGTCTGCCTGTATAATGACACAAGTACAACACCTGAGTAGCTTTATTTGAGAGAGGTTTTGCTCACTAGGGAAGTTCATCAATTTAATATAGACATGAGAAAGGTTATTTGTACGAGGAAGCCAGTGTTGTGGAAGTAGTGAAGCATAGTAGTAGTACTAGTAGTAATCATACTGTTCATAAAAGTATAGGCATACCTTTCTGGTGGAGATATAATTCGCTGGCCGTAGGGTAGGATTTGTCTTATCCTGTGTGCACTTACTGCACAGACCCATTATCTTTTTTTTTTTTTTTCTTAACAAACCAGCCATATCCCATCAAGGCATGGTGACCTAAAAAGAAAAACGAGAGTTTCTTGTTTTAAAATTTGTAATGTATACAAGAGAAGGGGTTACTAGCCTCTTGCTCACAGCATTTTAATCACCTCTTAAAACATGCATGGCTTACAGAGATTTGAGGGATGTGTGCTTAAAATGTAGACCTACGTGAGTGTCGCAAGTGTCAGTAATGTTGATTTACATGAGTGATAGGTTAAGTAATTGTTATAAGTATCTTTCATCCAAGATAAAATGGTTTGTGAATTTCAGTGGCTGTCATGTAGCTCTGATATTGATGCCAGGATCTCTCCTTTAGATCTGTGTTTTGAGCACAGCTCACTTAGATAAGCTGTAAGCTAGATACGAAAGAATGAGTATGTGAGGTGAGTGTACACAGTATAAAACAATGGTGCATGATGGAAAAAGTAAAATTCGTACCTTGTGTTTGGTTTAAAATTACATTTTCAAAGTGTTTTTATTGACTGTTTATTGGTATAATTGATAGAGTAGAAGATACACAGCTGAAATAGACAAGATTTTGGTTAATAATGCTGAAATAGACAGGATTTTGGTTAATTTCAGGAAGAAGTAGCTCAAGATTGGGCCCAAAGTAACAGAAATATTTTATTTTTTGCAGTTTTTCCTGCAGATGGGGTAAGGCCTTTCCCCCTACTCTTTAGTCTGTTTTATTGGTTTTTAATAGGCTTGATTCAATTATTGAGATGCTGTAAATCATGACGTATCATTCCTGGTTATATTTTACCAGAGAAATAGAGTAAATCTTCAATATTTCGTGTGATGAATTTAAAATGGACTTGAGGACCTGATTAATGTACAGAGGAAATGTTTTAGTGTCAGGAATTGCTACAATGTTTATTTTGGGCTTTTAATTTGAAATTAGATATGATTGAATTTTTGTATAATTGGCCAAATTACTGACTTGTGTGTACATTATAGCTTTGATAATAGAAAGGGCAGTTTCTTGTGCTGAATCGATAGAATGGAAAGCATACCAGCAACATGGCTAAGTGTTTGGTTGAATTATGGAATTGGCTTAAAAAAGGACTCAAATTACAGGGAATCGATTTTATATTAACCTTTTGAGGACCACGACCCCCCCTCACAAACGTGCTCACAGGGTCGAAGAATTTAAAAAATAATTTTTTTTTCTTAAGAAATAATAGAGAATCTTTTTCCAAAGGTAATAAAGCCAAAAGTACGAAATTTGATGGAAAAATTATGGAATTACACTAACGAAGTTAGTGGTCTCAGCGATAGTTACATGTGGAGCCCTATTTTGGGCCAGTTCCATTGTTCCAGTTGACCAAACTCGTAACTATTTCGCTAGAACTCTTTTTTATTCTATTGATTGAGTACAAGAAACTGCCCATTTACCTATTTCAACTACCCAATAAAGTGATCAGAAATTACTGATTTGGCCAATTTTGCACACAATTCAAGAAAGGCCAGTTTCAAAACAAGGTCAAGAATAAATAATGCAGATATTCCTGGCACTAAAATAACATTTTCTCTGTTTATTAGTCATGCCTCCAGGCCTCTCTTATATTACACTTGCTTTTCAATTTGAGTTTTTATTCACTCAAAAATAGAAGATTTACTGTTATTCAGACTACTGCATAATTGTAATAATTTTATAAATAATATTGGCACATTCGTGAATGCATGTTAGATTGGCCAGTTGACGTGTATTTTACACGTCATCGGCAAAAATCGAATATTTCCACTACTTTGAGCTCAATTTCAAGCTACAGTGGTACCCCAAGTTTCGGCCATAATTCGTTCCAGAAGGCTGTTCGAGTGCTGTTACTGAACAAATTTGTTCCCATGAGGAATAATGTAAATTAGAGTAGTCCATTTCAGACCCCCAAAAATACACTTACAAAAGCACTTACAATAATACACATACATAATTGTTCGAGTTTCAGTTCAGTTTTTGCCTATAATTTTGTTTTACTAATCTTGTAATTTATTTTTCAGATGCGTATGGCTCCGCTTGGTCTAGATAACCTGATAGTAGTAAATGATGAGGCCCGCCACTTCGCTTATGAAGTTTCTAGGCGAGGTGGGGGAGGTGTTGACAGCAAACAGGTGTGTAGTCTAGTACTAAAATGGCATGCAGACAGGCCTCTCATAACACATTTATGTAGCATGTTATTACTAGAATGCTAATCATGTTTATATCCCAAAATTTTACTAGCTGTGTTTAGGTTTTAAATGACATGTGACCAACCACTAGGACGCATTTATTAGAAAACGTTCTGTCTGGAACCTTGATCACTTCTAACACACTGTATAAAAATAACAGTATAAGGAGGGCCTTAAATGTACAGCACGTATTTTCAGTGTTCCGTGTTTTTGTTGGATTTCAATTGAGCCACTGTTCCACTCGCCAATAGGTGGAACATTATGAACAGCAGCTCAGTTTGAAGCCAATGAAAAAGTGGAACACTGAAAAGGTGCTGTATATACAGGGGCCTCCTGTATTTAGGCAAAGTGGAGTGTGACACATGATAACCTGAAAATTGACATATTTGAGATGAGGTTAGGTAGACAGTGAGGTCATGTGATTCTTGTGTTAGGTAGGTGGAGCTTTGCCTGGTTGAGTATCATGTATGTTAGTGTTTTTGAAATTTTGTAGTGTCCTGTATTACGTTCTACGGTGTTGGTGACAGCAGTTAGCTAGGCCTCTAGACATCATCGCATTTAAGATCTTGTTCTGTGATGACAAGTAGTACCTCATTCCAATTCATCAAATTTCCCATGAGTTCCTGTGGAGGACACAAGTGTACTTTGAGTCATCCATATTGCTGGTTTTTCAGCATTTGTCAGGTGGATCAAGAGATGTCTTCCTGTTCCCCCTACATATTTCTTGAGAAGGTATCCAAAGGGAATAGTGTAGACACCTGTGTATACTATATTGCCAGTTGTAATATACTGTATTATATGTGTGCAAGAAGCTAAAGATGAAAGATTTTTCTGAATATGTTTAGTAAGATTTTATTTGTGTTGCATTATTCCAGGAGGGAGGACCAGCAAGTCAAGGTCCAAAGGAGCGCAAGTGGAAGGTTGGAGAACTGGAGTTTGAAGCTCTCATGAGATCCCTTGATAATGCTGTAAGTCAGAATATATTTTTAATGTAATTGTTTTTAATTAATTTTTTTGAGTTTGCCAAGGGTGAGCTCTAAATTCTTAAAATTTCCTCTTCATGACTAACATTAAATTGTCTTGCCATGTAAATCACTATGGAGTTGTCTTCCACTGTCATTGTTTAGGGCATTCCATTTCTTTCCCACTCAAATGTTGAAATATTTTTAAATGTTCTTATGGATTATTTGGATATGGACCATACACCCATGATTTTTAGTATTCTAGTTTCTTCTCCGGTAGAGCTGTCTGTTTGAAAAAAAAATAAGGTACAAAGTATTAAAGCCACAAATTGTTGTTTGGTTAATGTTGGTTAAGAGTTATTTATTGATAGATTTTTTAAAATAAGTATTTTAAATATTGAACCTTGTCATTTTTTTTTTTTTAACAGGGGCTTAGAACAGGATACATCTACCGACGGCCTCTGCTTAAACAAGAAACTGCTAGGCTACAAAGTGATGTTGCACTTCCACCAACAGCCTCCAATTACACACACCTATTTGATGAGGATGACATAACAAGGAGGTATGCTTAGATTCTAATGTTTGTTGCTACTGATGACAGATGTAAGATTTGATGGAAAATAGGGATTTTAGCATGTATTTTTTTTTTATACCTGACTTGCTATCTTCTGCCAAGGCAGGTGATCTCAAAATAAATAAATAACATTCACAATCATTTCGTTTGTGTACGTGTGTGTGTGTGTACATGTGTGTGTACGTGTACTCGTCTAGTTTTACTCTTGTGGTTGTGGGGGGTCGAGTCACAGCTCCTGGCCACCGCCTCTTCATCTGGCCGCTACCTGGTCTCGCGTCCCGCTCCATGAGTTTTATCATAACTCTTCTTAAAGCTATGTATGGATCCTGCCTCCACTACATCACTACCCAGGCTATTCCACTTCCTGACAACTTTGTGACTGAAGAAATACTTCCTAACATCTCTGTGGTTCATCTGAGTCTTCAGCTTCCAACTGTGACCACTTGCTTCTGTGTCCCACCTCTGGAACATCGTGTCTCTGTCCACCTTGTCTGTACCTGTGTGGATGTGTGTGTGGGTGTGTGTGTGGATGTGTGTGTGGGTGTGTGTGGATGTGTGTGTGGATGTGTGTGTGGATGTGTGTGTGGATGTGTGTGTGGATGTGTGTGTGGATGTGTGTGTGGATGTGTGTGTGGATGTGTGTGTGGATGTGTGTGTGGATGTGTGTGTGGATGTGTGTGTGGATGTGTGTGTGGATGTGTGTGTGTGTGATGTGTGTGTGGATGTGTGTGTGGATGTGTGTGTGGATGTGTGTGT